ATCGATCCGGCCGCCATGTTGCGCTGTAGCAAGCGAAAAGCTTGGATCGGCGGAACGGCTGCCTGACTTGTAGCTGTGCGTAGGTGATGAACGTTCCAGCACAGTAGCAGCTGAGCTCTGTGCAGTGAAGGAGATAGCATAGGCATGCCCGCCCTTGCGCACATCAGACTCCGCGGAGAGGATAGTGAAGCGCTGTAGCACCTGCCAAACTGGCAAAAGATCTCGAGAGCTTCCTTCAGACTCTCGAAGGCCTCGCGTCGAAGAGCAAAGAGGTCCTGGTGACGACACGTGGCAGCGGGGAGCGGAGGGGAGCGCAGGGGGGGCGGGTGCGGTGCTTTTGCGGCTTCTTGTTGCAAAGGTTGAGAGACAGAGAGAAGCCGCAGCCGTGGCCTTCTGTGCAGCCGAGGAGCGAATTTGCGCAACCGCTGGAACGTTGACTCCTCCAAGGATATTAACTGACCATGGAAAGAAGAAGTAGCTGTTAGAATATATTGGAATCACAACTGCCACGACAGAAATCAGATAACGGAACGGAACGACAACAGCAAAGACTATGAGGAAGAGACTGTCGTGAGACACAAATCAGCGACAAGAAGAAGAAGAAGACGAAGAAGCACAACGACAACGAAGCGCTGTATCTGCTGCTGGTGGTTGTCATGAAGCTGGTACATGTTTACACAACCAGGATTTACAAGTACCGTGTACCAGCTCGAAAGTCGAACAGAGGTGAACAGAGACTTCTCAGACACATCAAGATGGTGGGAACATCGGCATTCATGTCAGGTGTGCCTGCCCGGGTCGGGTGACTTAAGACTACGCCTCCGCAGGCACTCAGCTTTACTCCGTCCTCGGTCCACCTTCCAAGCTCGTCGAGCTTTCTCTGCAGCCTTGCGGGTTTCCCAGCGCTGGATACGTTCTGACAAGCTACACTTTAGCCTTTCTGCCGACTTCAATTGCACTGTCTGACCCAGCCATTCGGACAGTAAAACCAGCCGCCTGGCACATGCCTCTTGACTGCCTTCGCGAATCATCGCAGCCTTGTGGCGAGGTGGGGGGCTAATCAGTGGGCTCCGGATCTTTGGCATCTCCAGTTTATGCTCGGTAGATACTTAATGCCGACCTCCTCATCTGGAAGTGGCTGAAAGACACGGGGTAGCTGGTCCTGCGAGCACAACCCAGGCCGGAATGAAAAGGTAAGTTACAATACAGTATGCGTCTCTGCACGGCAACATGAAACCCCCTGCACCTAAAACACCGTTTGTTCAAGTTACTCCGCAGCTGTCTGTGGAGGGCGCTTTTGGTGAACACCGGCTGTTGGTAGCACACGCTCGACACTCACACCTAAGGGTTGGCTGCCAAGCGTTCCCCAGCCAATTTTGAAGAGTTACCTTCGCTGTTGAATGGCCGTTGTTTTCCACACTCTGAGCGATTCTGACTGTCTCAAAGCCGTGTTTGTTCCATACTTCGCCTATGGACGGTTACATGTCTGGGAGGCTTCGGGGTGTGGGCGAGCGCAGTTCATCAGGGGCCCGCTACGGCCCTGCACACGAATGCGAGACACACCGTCAGCCCCGAAACTCAAGAACTGAAAACCTCAGCTGAGCTGACCAAACAATGCAAAACACACGTGAAAGCGCCAGCATCTACGAGTCCCAACCTGCAGGCTGCTCAAAACACATTTGCAGCACTCCTTGAGACGGTCGATGACCCGGTTCTGTATCTTGACCATCGTGCTGTAAGAGACCATCGAGCTGCCGAAGAGCAGGACACCTTCAAGGACAGGTTGGACACACAGATTTGCCAATGCCACCGCGCCCACATCGGCCTCTGGCGGCTGCTGCTGCCGCAGTGGCAGGGCAAGTCAACGTTGCCACACCGCCCGCGAGGGTCAGAGTGAGAGTTGGCAGCACCCACTGCCTTCAGCGCAAGGCCCCCGATGCTGCTCACGGCATAAGATCGGCTTGCGTTACGGACCGCTCCGTTTGGTCAACAGAGAATCTCAGATGACATGCAGGGCACCATCGGTTGTTTTTCACTATCAATCTGAAGCCTGGAACATCGCACAACGCCCTGAGCTTTCTACCAGTACTTTTGGAAACGTCACTGCACAAAATCACATGCCAAGACACGACTGCTTCTGGCCAGCCGCCTCTGCCAGAATCACGACCTGGGTGTGGGAGATGGGGTAGGGTTTGGGTCGGGTACGGGGGCGCTGTCTGCCGGAGTGGAGTGTTATGGCTGGCGTTGTTGCTATGGTGTTGTGGGGTGGGAGAGTTGGGGTGCTGGGGTGTTCGTCGGGTTGGTTGGAGCACTTGGGTTGATGGCCTTTGTATCTTCCGGCAGGTTGCACATTTCAAGTGCCTGTATGTTCCTGCCTGCATAAACGCGGAACCCAGCCAGTAATCTATGTATCTTCGGTCTTAGGCTTAGATATGTACAAACAGTGTCGATATGCAGAGAGACAGAGAGAGAGGGAGAGAAACACATTCTCACTATCATCTAACTTCATAGACTTGTTTCTACTCGTGCTTCTGAAGCCCCGAAGCCGGGAGTCATCGGCATCTTAGGCAAGGCTGGCCTTGCTGCTCGTCCCACCACGTGCACCTCTCACCCTGCCCGCATGTCCCATGTTTGCCTGCATGGATGGATATCGGCACCTCGCATTCATGCGTACATGCATTCATGTACGCAAGGCTTTGCTGTGGGGGATGCAGCAAGACATCCTTGCACAGGTGTGCAGGATCGCGGTATCTCTGTGAGGATCCGGCTGCTTTCTCGGTAACTTCTCGAGTGTGCGCCACCGTCGCCTCCACCGCGTTCAAGGCCTCCTGACATCATGATGTCAGGCTTCCAGGTCCAGGCAAAGAAGCCCTTCCGAGCCGCTATGACGACATTCCGACGAAGGCCCGCACTCAGCGCGTCCTGGTCCTGAGCAATCTGCTTGCCCATCAGGGCGGTGATTTCCTGAAGGTTCGTGGCAGCTTGGCTGATTTCCAGGACGGCCAGATGCCGGCGCTCGTTCTCTGCTTGGTCGTCCTGGGCACGTCGAGCAACTGAGAAGACCAAGGCAAAAGAGCGCTGAAGGAGCCGGCCTCTTCACTCCAGGGTCGCACAGACAAGAAGACTGCCGCACCAGAGTTGGCACATCCAAGAGCCGGATATTTGGAAAGCTCTTCGGACAGCGTACCCTCGCACGACTGCTGTGCGTTGCTGCAGGGTCGATAGGTCATGTGCCAGTAAGGAAGCACATCCAGCCTGGGCTGCAAGTAGGCGGACGTCGTCCTCAGGCTTCTGCCTTAAAAGTACAGCTGTCCAAGCACACCACAAGCTGTCAAGGAAGCGAGAAGACGATATGGAAACATCTGAACTTCGATGATGCTGATGCAGAAGCGCAACTCCACACCTCCCCAGCACCCGGTTGCCCCTGCCCGCACCTTGTTATGACACTCTCTTCACATCATCATACCGGTTCTCGAAAATATCCGGCGATATCCTGTGCAACTTCCGGAGGCTGCAAATTGTAGTACGGCAAACCTTCTCCGGAGAACTGTAGCTCGGTACCTCAATGAACTTACCAGTGACTTACTAGAGCCGGCTGCGGCCCAACAGTGTTAACAACTAACTGCCAGAACTGAGGGACAGGAAAGAGGCCACATGCCTCACTGATTCCGTCTGCTCCTCCATGTGGGGCGCTGCAGCCTCTTCGGCGGGGTTGCCTGCAGCTTGTGTTCAGAGTGATACTATATCTCTGAACTGATATAGATATATATATATATTGTTTATTTACTGAACTTTCAGGCCCGCCTTGTCTCCATCCTCCGTCGGCTTGGCCCACCTCCGAGACGACCTTCCCGGCGCAGAGCTTGTCGAGGCGGCTGCGCAGGGCGACTGCCTGCAGGGGCGCTGCGGAACAGACCACTTCCACAGAAGCCGCACTCGCCGATTCCTTACACTTGAGTCAGGCCCTGGACCGATCGACCCTACCATGAAGAGCTACGCAGTCATGTCGGATGCAGGCCTTGGCCTGAAGCTCCCTTTCTGGCATGGCCAACACCAGCCTCTCGAGCGACTGCATCTCACGGCCCAGGGCATCCTGCGAAGCAGGGAGGTGCCCTGAGCTTTTACATCTTTCTCCGCTCCTGCGCTGCAACTCCAGGGCCTCTCTCCAGGGCTGCTAGCTGGGCTTCCAAGCGCTCCAGCCTCCTAGCAAGGGCGTCGGCTTCATTGGCAGGCCCTAGGGCAAGAGGGTTTTGAGAACACTTGTCGCAAACTCTAGTAGCGCCAAGAAAACTCACTGACTCCGGTCCTCCTCGCTGAGCTCACATTGCTCTTCGCGATTTTATCGAGCTGTACCGCATAACTCATGCTGGTAGAAAGTTCTGGGGTGTCAGGTGTGTCCAAAAATGAACTTGATGCTAAGCTTTACCGTCACTCGCCTTGCTTTTGTCAGGCTCTTCGCACCGGTCCATGGAGCAGGGCTGACTACTGTAAGACTGTAGGTCCAGTGCAGTCGAGATCGTGAGTGCGTCTGATGCCGACAAGCAATATAATTCTCTTGTGCCAGAGGGCTACGAAGTCGCTCCAAGTCTGCTGAACTCAGAAGATGTAGCAGTCTGCGATGCCGTCAAACGCTTTGAAGCAACTCTGAGCCCCAGGCTACCAAACTGAGCACGACCGGACTCCGGATCTTTGCCTTTGAGCGACCTGCAATGACTGGAAAACACAGGCGTGTCGACAGGAGCTCTCAGCTTGATACGTAACACTTAATGACGCCATTTGCGCTGACCGCAGCTAACCTTCATCCTAGTCCTAACTACAGGATATGCACACATCAGTCGAGCATGGTGGAGTCCTTAAAAAGTATCCGATGTTCCAAACTACCGGTGGAGGAGCTGCGAGGTCCTTCTTAAGGGCTCCATCACGACTGGGGCAGGTTGAAAACGCGGACTTCAGCGTGAAATCTACCAACTGCTTCATCCAGATGCTGGGTGTGAACCTTCTCAACCTGCCACTTTGAACATGAGATGTTCGGCTAGTTGATCGGAGAGGTGAAACGCGAAAACATAGGTCATGGCGACTCCTGAACCTTGGCTCTCGCATCGACGGCTAAGTTCTCCGCCAAGCGGCAGCACATACTTATCAAGAAAGATGCAGAGCTCGAGCTAAGTGCCAAGCAAGCGGGTGCAGTTCGCTCCTACCAAAGCTCATCAAACGCACCAGACTGTCGTCACGCACCGTCTGTCCCCGCACTCACCGGCGACACTAAGGCGAAGCAGCTTAGTCCTGCTACTTCTTGGAGGCTTTGCGAGCTTTTTCTCGCTTCTTCTGGTCCACGATCGTGCCAACGAGAGCATCCTGGCAGTGGCGGACGGAGGAGATCCCTGCTGAGCACAGGCCCAACAGAGTCGGCCCCAAGCACCTCGTAGAGCTTGCAGTGCCTCAGACTGAATTCCCCCTCTTTTTAAACTGACTGACATCGCGAACTAGAAAGAGACAAGCCACTCTGCTTGAAGACCTTTCAACACGGATTCGATCTCCTGCGCAGGCGGGCTGTCTTTTCTTCCTAGGTCCTTGCACATTGCAGCCACTGTCGAAGCGTTCAACCAATCCTCCGTTTTGATCTTTTTGAAGTCCGTAAAGGCTCGCCAAGTGGTTGTTTCCACTGCTTTCTGCCGGTCAAACCTCCAGATCTGTTGATTTCAAGGCTGCTTTGTGGCGACTATCGCTGCAACTTGCACTTGGCAGAGGCAGCCGGGGCAATACCAATGATGACTACGGCTCTGGGGCCGCCGACATGCTGACGACCACATCCCACCACTTGGGAAACTTCCTTACCTGCAGCTGTGGCCCGGTCAGAAGCCCTTCCGTGCAAAAGCAGTTAAAACCCTCCTCGCCTCTTGGATGAGTCTGTGTAAGTCACATTCCGGGCCCTCGGCCAGCCTCGGGTACACAGCAAATCACAGAACGGTAGAACTAACTCCCGGATTGCAGCTTGGCAACAGCAATGCCGGCTTCCCAAAGCTCAAGAACCCAGTGACCTGCAAGGGTGCCGAACCCATGTGTTCGCCAGAGGAAATGACTCTGCACCAAGGCAGGATTGCCACGCCTGGGTGAACTTCGTCTTGAGGTGATTGAAGAAAGCCCTTGGAAGCGACCAACATTTAATTGTGCCCTTGCGGCCTCGCCCCGTCATATCATGATTAAAATCGGCTACTGTGGCGGCTCAATCTGTTTTCGAGGGTCTCACTTTCCTCGCAGGGCTGGCCGAAGCCTGTCAGATGCCAAGCCTGCGGAAGAGCGTGAACCATGCTCGAAGCATCACACACTCAGTCAAGATTACTGAGTGGATCATGTTGGCCTTATCCGCATGTTGACTCTCGGGCTGGAGGACTGGAGACAGACAAGTTACCACAGGTGGAGAATGATGCTATCTGATTTAACAGTTGTATGCACGAAAGCACGAAAATTGCACTTTTGTGTCCGTCTGTTTTCGTACATGTCACAATGTGTCTGTACGTGTGCATACGTACATGAATTATACATGTTCACACATGTATACATAAGATTTGTTTTCTCCTCAGCAACGGAGGAGGTCTTGTAGCAGAGATGTCAAAGATAGGAGTTTTACAAGTCTTGGCAGGATTTTACAAGCCAGGCTGTTACAACTCTTACATATAAAGACTGCGCCACGAAAAACGCCAAAAGCTTGCTCCGGAACCATCGCTTGCGCCGTTGCTAGCCTGCCACCCCTATCCGGAAAAGGGCGTGCACGAATTAGCCTCCCCAGCAACAGCAAGAAGTGCCTGGGCGGAGAGTGAAGGTACGCAGAACAGGGCTACCGCGATAAAGTATCTTTGTATTATAAACTACAAGAACGTGAAGTCAAAGACAACGCTCACTCTCTTGTCGGTCCAACAATGGAGGCGGCTTTGCAGCAAAAAAGTCGGAGACAGGGGTTCTACAAGTCTTGGCAGGCTTTCACAATCAGCCTCTCACAAATCTTACATATAAAGACTGCGCTCCACAAAGCTGATCGTTCTAATCTACCAGAAGCAGCGAATTGCGAAAGCTTACTCGGCAAAAGCTTCCGGAACCAGCGATTGCGCCTTTGCTCGCCTGCCACCCCTATCCACGTCCCCGAAAGTTGCGTAGCGATGTGCTTCGTCGGACATAAAGTACGCAAAATTTGTTGAAGGGCTCTTGAAAGACCTCGAAAAACATCTCTGCTAGCCTTTCCAGGCCATCTTGGATGTAAAGCTTCGCTGTGCGCTCGCTGCTCCACCGACGCCTTGGGCGAACTGATTCGAAGTAAAATGCCAATCCAGCAAACCAAGAGCCTGCAAGCCTTGGCCAAAAGCCTTACGGAAAAGGTAGGCCGAAACTGGTACCAGAAAGGTGCTCGGCTGGACCCATTGTTTCCACCGGGCCAGCCGAAATCAGCTACGCCGACGCGAAATGTGACAGAGTCATAAGTCCCAGTCCGAGAGACATGCACATGAGAGGCTTCGAGGTTTAGCAGCTCTCCGGTGTGAAGAACAGAGTAAGCCCCACCTCAAGCGCCAAGGCCATCAGCGGGTCGCAATTAAAACGAAAGAAGCCGCTGAGGCACTGAAGGAAGTCCTCTAGCAGAGTAAGTGCAAGTTGCGGCATTTCGCGCTTCTGCGGACCAGACGCCAAGACAGCCCCAAGTTTCCCCGGAAATGGGGATGGAGGTCCTGTAGACCTGAAGTACCATCTGTGGCCATAGAGAAACTTTCGCCCGCTTTCCAAGCATGTTCTTTGTGCTCCGAAAATACACTGTCAACGCCTGCCGCTTGATCTGGGATGCGGATGGATCTGGGCGTGCAAGTAACAAAGCTTTCAAAGCAGCGTCGTAGCACTGTCGAGTACCTGGTGTTATTGTGCTGGACCGCAAAGTTCCCAAACGTTGTCTCTCCACATTTTGTTTCTGCTTTGTGCGTGCGGCTATGCCTACTATTGCCTACTCTGCCCGTTTGCGTTTCAAGCGGCGAAGGCGCCTACTGTCGGGATCGTCATACGCAAGGAGGGGCTAGAGACCGGTAGCCAGGGCAAGGGAAGCGATGCCGTACATGAGATATTGTATCTTTCGGGAACTAAAGCGTCCACGTGAGACGACGGGCAAACACACAATGGAGTCAGTCAGGTGGACCAATCGTGCTTTCCGCTCTTCTTATCTGAGCACCCGCCACCACAAAGCGGCGTCGACCGAGCGAAATTCGTACAAATATATATATATATATGGTGGGCTCTCCAAAGGCAGGGAACCCCTAGTGCCCCAGCTCCCTTGACTTGCTCTCTAAAGACGAGATAAGATATGAGATGTTTGCCTGGGCACTTTCCGGCACCCGTAAGCAAACACTGCGAGCCCGGTCCACCTACGGATTTCTGTCATCCTTAAGCAGCAACAGGATACCGCGATCGAGTATCGCTGTTTTCAACTACGAGAACGTTAAGTCAATACATATACCTATCAACATATATATACATATATATATACA